GTGGGTTCCGGGGGTGTCCCCGCCCTCCCACCCCCACTCCGCGTGGCGGTTTGTGGCCGGGCTTTGCTGCGGGCACGGGGAGCATCTGCAAAACCCGGGGAGTAAGGAGGGGCGGCGAGACCCTGCCAGGCACCCCAAAAACCCCTCTGGGAGCTCCTGGGACAGGAGCCGAGGTGTCCCCACCAATGAGACATGGGATCGTTTGCATCCTTCTGGATAAACCAGCAGGGCAAGCCCAGGACCGCAGTTAGGGGGGTTTAATTGGGAAAGGGGGAAAGATGCGGATGAAACGGCAGGAGCTACGTTGGGAAAACAGACCTGGGGTGGCGGGGGGGCGCTGTCACCGCGGCGGAGTGGCCTTCACCTCCTCCCTCTCGCTGCGTGTCCAGCTGGCCCCCGGCCCAAGGTGACGGCGAGCGCCCGCGGGGCCGCCCGAGCCCAAAACAAAGGCGATAAGGGCTCGGCGTGGGCTGGCTGCGCGTGCCACCGGGGACCAGTCGGGTGGGATTCGGCTGCACCCTTGGGTGCAGGGCTGGGCTGATGCTGCAAGCACCTCCCCAGGGACCACCGCCGCTGCCACCGCAGCACACCGGTGCCCAAGCTGCGTCCTGCCCACCAGCAAAGATGGGAGACCACCAAGGTCAGGAGGACAGAGAGACCTTCCCACCTTGTTTACAGGATCCTCGTGCACTGACACCGCCACCCCCAAGTTCTCTCCCTCCCAGGAGGGCTCGAATCCAAACTGGGAGCACCCAGATGAGCCACGGCTGGGGTGTAAAGAGCCTTTCCCTGGAGGGGAGCAGCCCCGTGGGGTGATGGAGGCGGTACCTGTGACGTGGTAGATGTCCCCAAACGTGGGTGTCTCCAGAGGAGCTTTGCACTCTACTCCTGGAAGAAAACCAAAAAAAACCCGCGAAGCCCTTTACGCTGCTGCTGACCCACCTCTCCGTGGCAGGGGGATGGCAGCGGCGCTGGTCCCTGTCTCGGTGTCCCGTGGGAGAGGGGGACAGACCCGGAGGAACCCACGCTGGTGGCAGGGGTCCCACCTGCCCGGGCAGGGCAGAGACC